CAGGGATTAATTTCCAAAGAAAAAGTGAAGTCCTTTAATTTGCCTATATACTATGCATCACCTGATGAGATTGAGAAATTGATTCAAGACAATGGTTGTTTCAGCATTGTGAGGATGGAGACATTTCCTGGCAACGGAAAGCACATTTACAATTCCCAAATGTGGACACTGATTGTAAGAGCTGCCTTCGAGGCAATTATAAGTAATAACTTCGGAAGTGAAATGGTTGAAGAGCTATTTGAGCTCTACAACAAGAAACATATGGATAATGTTTCTATCTTTAGTAGAGATGATGTTATAAGTCTTCTACACTTGAATGTTGTTCTCAAGCGCAAAATTTAGTGCAAGGAGTGTCATGACTCCATATCTACACTGTTCTGCTGCTTTGGTTCTAATTTTCCTCGAGCTTGGTCTAAAGAAATAAAACAGTCATCATCTCGAGGGACAACAATTCTATATAGACTCCAATTTGGAAAGTCTTGATTTCGAAATTTGAGAAGGGATGGATGATATTCAATGTGTAATCCAAAATTATATATTATATATAATAAACTATTTATTTTTAAATATTATTATGCTAATGCCTAATATGGGTTAAAGGTTGGCTTTAGCATAAGACCATTAAAGCAAGGGCCTTAGGTCCCAATTTTTCATAGGTTTCATAATTTTATATTAATAATATAATTAATTATATTAAAAATTATACAAAAATTAAGATAATTAATCAATATCTAGTTATTGTGTCATTTCTAATAAATATTTATTTTTTCTCATTTCCACATCCCTATTGATTCTCAACTATTATTTCATTTCCCATTAAATACATAAAAAAAAATTAAAAAAAATTACATATTCTCTAACTCCCCTTATTACAAATATGTAAAAGTTAAAATAAATCTCAATTTTAAATCACTTCCCAATTTCCAAAATACTATTAATTCTTAACTATTTCTTCTATTCCCAATTAAGTAAGGATAATATTATTTAATAGTCTCCAACCATTATGTTTTTTCTTATATATGAAATCAATTATTTTTTTTTAATTTATAATATTCACTTATGAATTTTCTTTCCTCTTTTGAGCTTTCTTTCTTAATTTCAATAAAAAAGATTTTATTCTTTTAATTTTAATAAAAAAAACTTCGTTTGAATATTTAACTTTGGACTTTTGAGGTTATTGAGTAGTCTATTTGAATATTTGTCTGGCTTGATAGTACTTTTTTTTTTTTGGTCATAAACTTAAGGTATTGAATTGTAGTCCTACTTAAGCACTATAAGTGGATTGAATCAAGGGTATATATACAGGCATTTGGTTGTATTAAGTTTGAGGAAAGAGATGAGAGGATTAAATTCTATGTTGTAACTACAGATTAACACTAGTCTTTACATATTACTTTCATCGTATGATACTTGTACATCAATGGTTTTAATATGTGGTTGCAAATGTGTACCCTTTTTCACATGATTAAACGCAAGGAGTAATTGGTAGATAAGGCATCATCAGGCTTTTCTGACCAACAAGAGAAATGATGAGCACTTGGCACGCCTTTGACCGAAAAGAAACTTCTTTAATGTATATCCATAACTTGGACACCGATTTCAACCCTTTATTCACGCCCCTTTATCCGGAAATGTTCAAACTTGATCCTTAGACCTTTGTCTGCAAGAGCACTATAATTAAAAACAAATAGTCAAACGATAAAAAGTCACACTGATCAATATATAGATATGATATTCCAATTATTATCAATTTGTTAAAGAAAACTAGTGATGCTCCTTTTGCCGGGCAACAGTCGCAGATTCTACTAATCCCACTAGCCTTTGAAACTTGAATAAAGCGAAAGTATTTGTTCTTATCAGTTGTCTTTTGGACATTAAAAAAAATACAAAATTATTTGCATATTAGCTTGTAGGATAATTAATAGTCGAAGAAAAAGAATGGACATGTAGAATTATTATTACGGTTTGTACTCAAGGATACGAATGGTGGTAAGAGTACAAAATTGATGTGACATTTGCTTCACTCTTTGATATTTTCCAATTGAAAGCAGTCTTTGACTCTCCCAATAATTTGTTTATGTATGTTCATTAGATTGTAATTAAATAATAAACAGTCTGAACTGTTCTTTCCTGCCTGTTGAACAGCGTTGGTTTAAATGCATTTCAAACAAAAGAAAAAAACAGCGTTGGTTGCGTCATACATGACTTAATAGCTAGGATTTCATTTTCGCAGATGATGTGTGCAGCTTCCAGATGTGTGTATCAAGCTTAATGATTAAGTGCTGCAGCTAAGGCGGCTTTTCTTACAATAATTTTCTAGCTTCAGGACTTAGCGAAAGCATTGCAGCTTTATAATAGCAATAAACTGTCTAGCTTAAGCTAGGACAGAAAGGAAAATGGCTGCCATGGAGAGCAAAATATTACCAGGATCATATCCTATGAATGGCGGAGATGGGAAAGTTAGCTATGCTCGTAATTCTCAAACTCAGGTTCCTTTTTTTCCAGTTCCATTATCATATACCTTTCCAAGTTTCCATCTGAATTTTTTGCTTTTGACACGAGTTCTAACATGACAACAACTGTCTGCCTTGTTAGCAGAGAAGAGCAGTGGATGACGCCAAGAAAATTATCAGTGAAGCAATTGCAGACCTTCTGGACATAGAAAAGCTCACTCTGGAATCATCTAATAGATTCCAAATAGCAGATTTAGGCTGTGCTACTGGGCCAAACACATTCTACGCAGTGGAAAACATCATAGAAGCTGTGGCCAACAAGTACAAAATCAAGCATAAGAATCCTCAAACTCTAGAATATCAAGTGTTCTTCAATGACCGAATCGACAATGATTTCAACACCCTGTTCAGATCCCTCCCTTTCCCGAGGCCATACTTTGCTGTTGGAGTGCCTGGCTCTTTTTATGGCCGCTTGTTTCCTACAGAATCTATTCATTTTATGCATTCTTCTAATTCATTGAACTGGCTTTCCAGAGTTCCTAATTATGTTGGAGATATCAATTCTCCAGCATGGAATGGGAGCAGTATATATTGTAGAGGAGATGCAAAAGAAGTAGCTGAAGCTTATTTGAGTCAGTACAAGAAAGATATGGAGACTTTTCTAAACGCTAGAGCACAAGAGCTTGTTGGTGGAGGGTTGATGGCATTGGTTCTTGGTGGTCGTCAAGATGGAGTTCCTCTTTGTCAAACCAATATGGGCAAAACCTATGATTTTCTTGGTTCTTGTCTATTCGACATGGCCACCGAGGCAAGTATTGGATTAATATTAATTTAAGAATAAGACTAAAGATTCTAGGAACATCATTGTTTTCCTTCCTTCCATTATTACATTCTTGTCACTTTCAAATATGTGAACCTTATTTATAAATCGTGAATTCCTCAAATTTAAATCTATGTTATATATAAAATTATGAATTTCAAAAGTGAAAATATTGAATTATATATATATATATATATTCTTGACAATTTGTTAAATTAACTATTTTATCCTTTATGAATGATTTTCTTATCATTTTTATTTATTTCTTTATTAATATTATATTAAAGTTCTTATTAAAGTAAATTTTCCTTAATTTTGAATATGAGTTGGTTGTTGACATCTAAAGAGTCCATTCTGAATGCTGTTTTATTATTGAATGTATCAAAATTAATTTTCAGGGAATAATTAGCAAAGAAAAAGTGGAATCTCTTAACCTACCTCAATATTATCCATCGTCCAGTGAGATTGAGGAATTGATCAACACCAACGGTTGTTTCTGCATTGAGAAGATGGAGACATTTCCAGGCCCTGGAAAGCATTTTTACGATGTCCAAATGTGGTCAATGATTGTAAGAGCTGGCTTTGAGGCAATCCTGCAAAATCACTTTGGAAGTGAAATGGTGGAAGACTTCTTTGAGCGTTACGCTAAGAAACATGCTGATAATCTCTTCATGTTTGATAGAAGTGATGTTCAAAATCTTCTGCAAATCAATATTGTTCTCAAGCGCAAAGTTTGTTAAAACAAGTATTATTCTTTATTAGCTAGGTAAAGATTCGGGTGAATGACACAAATTACTGCTTAATTGGCTTGAGATTACTTCCAAATAAATTGAGTATTTATTATTGAAAAGTTTGAGTACTGTACTGTATCTGTTGCTTCCCCTTTTATTTGGGATGTTTATCATTTTTCAAATGGAACTTTCACCCAAAGCAAACCTAGAGGGAACCTTCTTTCTCACACAGTCATTAATCAACTGTGAAAGCCTATTTTTCAATTGAGGCAGTCTCCCAATCATTTGTCTAATTATGTTCATTATATTGTAATTAAAAAAAATTAATAAATTTGTTATGAATATTTTTGTGAGTATTCATTTATATTATTATGTATATTTAGATTTGGATGTAGGTTAGATTAGATGAAGAGTAAGATTTGATTCATCCATCTAATCTCTTAGTATTATTTTAATCTTGTAAATTTTATCTAGATAAAAAGTTATTAGCTTATAAATAGGTCATTTCATTTCATTTATAAATACACACTTGAATAAGATTTTCTTTCTCTCATTAAATATTTTTCCTCCTTCTAAATACTTTCAAGCCATATTTCTCTTATAATTGTTCTTTCAAGTTACATTTCATAACATATTATCAGTATAATTCTCTAATTTCTCAAGTTTTGATATTATTTTATTTTCATCATATTCAAATTTTAATAAGATTTCAATAATTGGGTTTTAATTTCTGATTTTAGCAAATCAACTAAGTATTGGTATCATTTTGTTTCTATTCTCTCACTTCAAAAGGATTTTAATAATTGATCTTTGATTATAGTTTTAGAAAATCAAGTAGGTGACTTAATAGCTCTTTAATGTTTTCATTCTTTAATAATCAACCTTAATATGAATTTTGCTATTATGTAGTGTATATTATATTTTGTCTGTTAATTAGAAAGTGAATTTACTATTATATAGCTATTAATAAAAAATCATGAATCTCCATTCCTTAAAATAAATGAAACAAAAGAACTACTAATAAAAAGTTATAAATCCATTCATTCTCTAGAATGAATGTCATATCATTTAATAATTATGGTTATAGATATGAAAGTGATAGCCGTAATAATTTACATTATTACTATTCTAGTTCTAAAAATATATTTTATCCACTAAAAGTGGATGAATAATTCATATATATATCCTTGCCGTATTCACCATTAGTTGCCACATTGCATGATTACAAAAAATTATAACACCCTCTTAATTCTATCTTAAAAAAAAAAGATGATTTAAAAACCAAGACATAATACTTGAAAAGTTTTAAAACTATTTAAAAAATTTTTTTTATTACTTTCAATCAAATCTCTATACTTTTATATTAAGTAGAAAAGCCCTTATAATTAATAGTTGGTTAATTGTTATTAATCAAAATATCACTTATCATTTTATACTTATATGACAATAACGTGATGTTGATATGGTGTTGATGTGGAAAGTGAAAATATCATATAACTAAATTATCATGTCATATTAATATGTTACATCATTATCTATTATGACATATAAACCTATCACATTAATACCATGTGAGATAGAAGTGATATTTTGACTAAATCAACCATTAATCATAAAAATTTATTTAACTTAAAATAAAATATAAAAATTTATTTAAATCAAAATAAAAATATAAAGACTTAATTTTATTTTATTTTTGTGCAAATCATGCACTACATTATCAGCTAACAATCAATAACTAGGAGAGTACCAAACAACAATTGCCAACAAATAAGAGCTAGGGGCATGTGAAACAACATGAATTGCCAACAACCAAGAGCTAAGGGCTTTGAAGACGGCTTTGATATCATGTTAGAAACACTAAGAAGAAGAGAAATTTAAATTGTTTATTGATAAAATTTATTTTATGTTATATATATACCCGTACATATATACATAAGATTAATCCTAATTTTATTTATAATTTAATTTTAACTAATTAATAATATTATAATAAGATATTATAATCTAATTAAGTAATACTGCTGGATTACAACTCTAACTAAATAACTCATATCATAATCTTAACATATCCCAAAAATCAATAACTTTTCTTATGAAAATAAAATTAAAAAATAAAACACAAAAATATGTTAAGGAAACAATTTGTCTTGTTGCTAACAAAATATAATGGAACATTTTCTCCAGAGATGATAGGAGTAAGAAAAATCAAACAAGAAATCATGCAAAATATACGAAAGAATAATGATTATAGAAAAAAAATTTTAAATTTATTATATAATGAATAATGGGTATAAGATGATTGCAAGCAGATTGGAATGTCCCTAGGTATCAATGATGGATGGCGAGAGGAGATTTTCACTCTCCACTTTCTGCCAAAGATTTTTATCTTAAAAAAAAAAAAGAAAAAAATTGCAACGAATGGTAACTAAGAAGAAGCTTGTAGTCTTCTATTGGTGGACTTTTAGCAAAGATCAACTTAAGCAACACTAATTCAGGTGGAAGAAACAGAGATGGCAGCTACACTACAAGGAATGGAGGATAGAAAAAGAATTTAATCCCAACTCAGTTTAGCTCTGATGGGCCTTCCTTCCCAAACCCATCCCTACCTAATTCACTACTCATATTCATTTCAGTTTACATATCCTCACAAGCCCAATCTATTATATATCAAGCAATTAAACCATGTCAATTTGGGCAAGTATATATTGTCCGGCAAGAGTGGATACAGGGAATTTATGAAGTCAACTCTCTCTTGTAAACATATATCCAAAGTTTTAAAATCCTTGTTGCTTTGCTTGTTAGTCGTTATGTTGTTTGTTCTTACATAGCAGTAGTACATGTGAGAAAATTCTTTTGCTTGCATTTACTTGGATAACGCCCAAATGACATATTTAATAGAATTTAAGGTTTAGTTTTTATATTTAAGTACAAACCATGTTTGGTTTGGTTTGCTTAAACTTGGGAAAGTCGATTAATTAGATTTCTTCCTCAATTAATTGAATTTTTGGGTTTTTTATGAATAAACACCAAATGAATTTTATTTTGGTTGGTTTTCTTTAACTCTTTTAAAGGGCAGCCGTCCATGCCTTTAGGTTGACTCTTGTTTCAAAAACAGTCGAACACTTCAAGGAATTTGCCAGTTTTCATTGGTATATATGTTGTTGTGTTTCATTTCCCTTCCACACTTTCTGTCCTTCTCTCCCTCTATATATAGGAGCTTAAATTTGATAAAAATTAATGCAGATATTATGAACGGTTTGTTTTCAGTTTACGGTATGTGTAATTCTCATCTCTCTTTATCGTTTTTCCTGTTCTTGGTGTTGCTATGTTAAATGATTGTCAATTGGAATAATGAACTTGAGCTGTCATCTATTTACTTCCAAAAATTAATCTTTCTCTTCTTATTATTATTTTAAGATTAAGGTTATGTGGTTGCTTATGTTATCGTGAATTGATTTGTACCAATATATATATATATATATATACATTTGATGTAATATTTAAAAAAATTTTAAATTATTTTTAAAAACTTTAAATAAATTATTATTATTTTATTAGGTTTAATCAAATCATTTTATTTTCATTTTGAACCAATAAACCCTTACGATTAACAGTTCACTAACTGTTATTAATAAAAATATACTTATTAATTTATGTCATATGATGTTAATGTGATATGCTAACATATCATATTAGTTAATAACGTGACATGATAATATAATTATGTGATATATTTCATCATTTACATCAATATCACATTATGAGTATAAAATGACAAGTGATATTTTCAATAATAAAAATTAATCAATCATTACTTATAAGAATTTATTTAATTTAAAATAAAAGTATAAGAATTTAATTAAATTTTTATAAATAATTCATAAATTTTTCATAAATATTATATTTTTTTTATTATAACGTAGTAATTAAGTACATTGTTAAATAATATGATCGGTATCGTGTAAGTTTTGATCTGAAATCTTGAAAACTCCATTGCATTCTTTTTAATTTCTCAGTCGTAGTGTCTTCTTATTAATTGGGCGTTATGTGCAATGCTTCTTTTCAACTTTTGTCACCTTGCACCTTTTTTTTATTCTTGCTTCTTCTTTTTTTCCATGATCAGTTTAACATTGCTTATAGTTGCAAGATTCAACTAGCTATATATGTTTTCATATTCAAAGCCAGAATGATTAAAATAATACTAGGCCCACTTCATCCTGCTACATATGAACGAAAAAGAAAACTTCTAAGTCATCTGCATGAGATTTTTACTAGCTAGGTATATTTTTTTTAATCTTCCAAGTCACAGCATCACGAAACTTAAATAGATTATTTAGTTTAGTGAAGGAGACTAAATATGTGAATGATTCGGTGACTTCAGTGCTAATATTTTGGAGCAAAATGGAACCAATTGAAAACGGAGATTTGCAGACACCTCTATCTTATTTATCATTTATTAGTCAAAAGAAATTGGACACGCCAAATAGTTTATTGGTAGGAACACAAGTTGCGTCTAATTGATATTGCAATGTTGATGAACTTAATACTAAATATTGCAATATGCATTTTGTACATTATCCACCACCCAATTTTGTGTCTCTTTCTCTATTTTGTTAGTGGACTTGACTCGTTGCCTTCAAAACTGAAATTACGCAACTTGCAAGGTAAAATATGATTGTTTCAGTTTGAAGTAAAGAAGAAGACAATCGATACATGCCGGGGGGGCCGAAGGAGTCCTAGACTTGAAGCTATAAATCTCATTATCCCATTGAACTTAAGGCACATCCAACAAACGCAAAATTAATATTACTCTCAATATTTTCTTTTCTCTCAGCAAATGGAAATGGCCATTGAAGAAACAAAATCACTGACTCAACCAATCACCATGAAAGGTGGAGATGGCCCTCTAAGCTATGCCAGAAACTCTAGCTTTCAGGTACTCTTTTGTCTAACTAATCATTGTTTCCTCATTTTTACTATAAGAGAGACATTTATATACCTTGTTTGAACTTGAAGTCTCTAAATTGAAAGTTCTAAATTTTAATTAACTGTGTTGAGATGTCTTTTTGAAACTTTTACACTAAAAGATAATTAGATGCATTAATCCAAGAATTCTTCTTAAAATGATAACCTTGAGTTTTACCATATAACTAGGGTAAAGAATATGGATTACAGAAAGCATGATATTAATTATACGATGATAATTTGACTGCAAAGTTTTGTGATAATCACTGGTCTGTAGCAACAATTACATTTTGTTGCAGAAAGGAGTTGTCGACGCTACAAAAGGAATGATCATTCAAACAATTGCAAACAAGCTTGACATGGAGAAGCTGTGTACCGACTCTTACAAGACATTTCAGATAGCAGATTTTGGTTGTTCTATTGGACCAAACACATTTTTCTCCATGCAAAACATTATAGAAGCTGTGGAGCAAAAGCACCACACCAACCATGGAAACTCTGCAACTACTCTGGAGTTTCAAGTCTTCTTCAATGATCACTTGAGCAACGATTTCAACACACTTTTCCAAGCTCTCCCTCCTTCGCGGCCATACTTCGCTGCTGGAGTACCTGGTTCATTTTATGGGCGCTTATTCCCAAAATCCTCTATCCATATTGGACATTCCTCTAGTGCACTGCAATGGCTCTCCAAAGTTCCGGAAGTAGTTGTTGATAGCAGTTCCCCAGCCTGGAATAAAGGAAGCATATATTGTACTGGAACAGAAAAAGAAGTTGCTAAAGCTTTTTCAGCTCAGTTTGAGAGTGATATGGAGACTTTCCTGAATGCTAGAGCTGAAGAGCTTGTGGGTGGAGGATTGATGGTAATCCTTATGGGCGGAGTTCCAGACGGAATCTCTCTATCTCAGACTTCAATCGGCAAATTTTATGATTTTTTTGGATCTTGCCTCGTGGATTTGACAAAGAAGGTAAGCTTTATCATTATTAGATTACAAGTTTATAAGTAAAATTAATTAAAATTATAATAAACTAATAATCTTCTGTACATATAATATAGTTAAGACTTCTTCTATAAGATACCAATCAATAAACTTAAAACAAGTTAATAAAAATATAGTATATATTAGATTCCCTACACATGGTAAGATGTAAATTTGGGATCTAAATGTTCTAGGGCCTGTATCTTACCATTAAGACAAGAACTTACAGATAAAAAGTAAGTTAATTAGTCTTACCTTAACCTTAACCTGCCGTTAACCTTTTCTCAGGAGGGTTAAGTCCCAAAATTCACATCCTCTCTCCCCTCAGACTCCCTTATACAGACCCAGAAAAAAAAAAAAAAACAAATGGCTTCATGACAACTATGCGCTGACTGATATATCACTTAATTAGGTCACTCTCTTGTTGATTTGGTCCTCAATTTGCTCCTTATTGCAGGGATTAATCAGTGAAGAAAAGGCCAACTCTTTCAATTTGCCCCTATACTTTCCATCCGCGAAGGAGTTGAAGACATTGATTGAGAGGAATGGGCGTTTTAGCATCGAGAGCATGGATGAGATAGTAGAACAGGTGAAGCGTGCGCATGCCTTGTCTAATACCCAAAACTATATATCGCACATAAGAGCTGGACTGGAAGGATTGATCAAACTTCATCTCGGGGACGAAATCGTGGAAGATTTCTTCGAATGCTATGCCAAAAAACACGCAGAGACTCGCTTCGTCTTCGCAGAAAATGGGGCTGACAATACTCTAATATTTATGATTCTCAAGCGCAAGTAACTTCCAGAAATTAAGAGCTGAAGAGGTCCACGCCCACTGCTTTTTGTCTGGAAGCTTAGAAAACAAGCTTATTAACGTACTTGGGCAATATAGCTCATAATAATAACTCGGGTTGTTGGCAACTGATGTTAGCTGTGGTTGACTTTCGGTTGACCGTTGTCTGCATTGATGTTTTGTTGTGTGATCTTTTATATAGGGCCGGATGACTGCAGGTTATAGGTTATTATGTGTGGTTTTTGTGTTTCATCTTGTCTTTAAGGCTGGGATAGCGGTAGAATTTTCTTCTTTGTTGATGTCAGCTTAATCTATAATCTTCTAATTATTAAATAAAAAGATCCTGACTTTGCTAAAGAATGACTCAGCATTGTTACAAAAGATCATGTTGTTAGGATGATTAATTTATTTGATGGCTTCCAAATAAGTGATCGCCAAAAAAATATATTATTTATTTCTATTTAAACTTAAAATATTAAATATAAAACATGAATGGTTAATATAAGATTTCACATGAATGGTTAATATATAATTCGTTAAATAATATAAATAAAAAGAAGAAGATAAAAGAAAATTTTACTGTCTCTTAATTTCTCATAATGGTGGTGAGTGGTCTTTGCTTTTTCTTGTCTAAACTAGCAAATTCATAAATATCTTTTAAAGAATGAAATGTATTTGGGTAGTGAGTTATAGAAAAAAGAAAAAAGTAAAAAAAAAAACAAAGAAAGATAAAAAAGAATAGAGAAATTTAAGAATTAAGAAAAAGTTGAATAAGATGGTAGGATCATTTTATTATTATTTATTTATATTAATTATGAAATAAAAAATTATTTTAAAAGTGCTATTAAAATGTAGATAATAATAAAAAAATTAAAAATTTTGGAGAGCCACAACCCCCTATAAACATACTACCGTCCGCCCATGCTGTAGATTAATTTACTTACAAATTGTTGAGATTCTTAATTTAAGCTTATCTTATATTGATCAATGTGATAATCATATTTTTGTTATTATATACGTATATAGAAGTATAAATATTCAGCAAGTTACAATGCTGCAAATTTATTTTTAATTAAATTATTACAAAACTCTATCCCTTAGCATTACCAAAACAGTGCTGTTGAAGTCAATTTCACCACACACACAAGATTCAAAGGATAAGACTTGAAAGAACGAGTTTCAAAAGTTCCAATACAACAAGAAAGAAAAGTTTGAATATTTGAAGACTTGATATCTCCAAGGTAGGCTTAGTTCTAAAGAATCAAAGAATTAAAGTATCAAAAATTCTAAAGAATACTGGCTTTTTAAAATCATGACTTCAAAAAATTACTCTTCATCTTGTCCAGCCAAAAAAGCAAAAAATAAAATCATTTTTTCTCCAAAGTGATGTAGTTAACATTCCTGAATTGATAATAATGCCAAAGTCCTGGCACATTATTACTCTTCAAAGTCACAAACGACACGAAAGCTAAATTAATTAATTAAATAATTCACTGAGAGATAGATGAGAAAGACTCTTGTTGTTCAAGGGAATAAGACTTCTAGGGTTCAAAAACTTGAAGCCAAAGAGAACAGGTTTTGATTGGTTGTTTGAAACCAAGTAAATTGGTGAAAGTGCACACTTCTATCTTATCAAAAGAAATAGGGTTATTATTGATATAATGTTTAAATAAGTTTTTAAATAATTTAAATAAATTTTATTTTTTTATTACGTTTAATCAAGTTTTTATATTTTATTTTAGGTTAAATAAACTCTTATAATTAATAATTGATTAATTATTATTTGTCAAAATACCACTTATCATTTATATCCACATAACATTATTTATGGGGTTGATATGGATTATAACAAACATCACACGATCATGTTATCATACCAAATAAGTATGCCACATCATCATAAATTATGATATGTTCATATATCGCGTTAGTATCATGCGACGTAAAATAACAAATGGTATTTTGATTAAGTTAATTATTAGTCATAAATGCTTATCTGACTCAAAATAAAAATATAAAGACTTATTTGATTCAAAATAAAATTACGTGAGCTTGATTAAATGTGATAAAACTATATAGACTTATTTGAATTTTTTTTAAATAGTTTAAGAATTTTTTTTAGATATTATGCCTAATTATATCTATTCCTTATTTATAGTATTTTCTTCTTGTTTTTATATTTGAGATTGGTAAGACCAAATCTTGATTAATTAAGACCAAGTAAAGCTAAACGTTATAAATTAATCCAAGCAATTAAGTCAACTGTTCTGTCACTTTTTTTATAAGCAAATCAACTGTTCTGCCATGATAAAAAAAAAAAGAGCAAAGAAAAAGCCAGCTGTTCTACTTGAAATTTTTATCTAATCAATGTAAAAAATAAGAGAACAAAAGTTGAGAAAAATTTTTAGTATTTAAAAATCCAACTGTCTAACATTTTGTAAGTTTTTAAATATTTTGAATGTTCATATTTTCTTTTACAAAAATCCATAGCTTTATTATTTGTTTATTCTTGTACCATTTATGAGTAATTGGATTATCGGATTATTGGACAAAATAAGGCCACCCATAAACAAAGGTATCTCTAATTAGTTAGTTGATGTTGCAATGTTGAGAGTATAGAGACCCTCCATATTTTATTCTAATGCCAAATTTACTAATGAAAATTTTCCTTTTATCTTTTACAAGTGGTTGCACATTTACATATTTATATATAGAGAGAGAGTGGTGATGACATTGATAGGCAAACAAGTAAAAAAATAAGAATATACACTCATTTTTCCATGCAAAACTCTTTTTCAATTATGACATTTAACTCATATATAACGTATGATTTTGTTTATTTTTCAACTTAACATCAACAAATTTATTTCACAGCGAACAATAAAAGGAATGAAGGAAGGAAGAAGCTTAAAATGATTATCAAAAGAAAATCTGGGCATCTATCATTTTTTTCTGTTCACATATACAGATTAATGTTAAATGATTTGTTTTTGTTGACTTAACCCACTGTCTTTAAAACTGAGATATTTAGAAGATATGACTACTTCAGGATGAGGTAATTAAGGGAGTAGACAAACTAAGGATTATTTCAGTATTGAGTGCTAGATTTCGAACTATAAATCTCAACATGATTGAACTTAAAGCACAGCCAACAAACAAAATTGCTCGAATTATTAGTGCAGTATCTTTTTTTTTCCTCTGAGAAAATGGAAATGGCCAATGAAGAAACAAAAACACTGTCTCGATCCTTCACCATGAAAGGCAGGGATGGCCCTCTCAGCTATGCCCGAAACTCCAGCCTTCAGCTAAACGCATTCCCATCAGCTAAAGCTAAGCCTTTTATGTCAAGTTTAGGAACTTGGAATTAATAGTGTCTATCAAACATACGCCAATTATTATTATTATATTTTTAAAGAGAATATATATAAGACCAAGGACGTATAATTTTAACTGCATGCAAAGCGTTTGTGGCTATTTACTGCTTCTTAAATAATACTTTTTTTAATTACAGAAAGGAGCTGTTGATGCTACGAAAGAAATGATCATTCAAGCAATCTCAAACAAGCTTGACATCGACAAGCTCTGCTCTGAATCTTCCAAAACATTCCAAATTGCAGATTTTGGTTGTTCCATGGGACCGAATACGTTTTACGCCATGCAAAACATCATAGAAGCTGTGGAGCAAAAGTTCCGTGCCAAGCATGGGAGCTCTGCAACAATTGATTTGGAATTCCAAGTCTTCTTCAACGGTCACACCAGCAATGATCTCAACACGCTAATCTCATCTCTCCCACCCTCGTGGCCATACTTCGCTGCTGGGGTGCCTGGTTCATTTTACAGGCGCTTATTCCCAAAATCCACTATCCATATTGGACATTCCTCTAGTGCATTGCAGTGGCTCTCCAAAGTTCCGGAAGAAGTTGTTGATAGCAGTTCCCCGGCCTGGAATAAAGGAAGCATATATTGCATTTGGAACAGAAAAAGAAGTTGTCAAAGCTTTTGCAGCTCAGTTTGAGAATGATGTGGAAACCTTTTTGAATGCTAGAGCTAAAGAGCTTGCAAGTGGAGGATTGATGGTACTCCTTATGGGTGGAATTCCAGACGGGATCTCTCTATGTCAGACTTCGATCGGAAAATTTTATGATTTCTTCGGTTCTTGCCTCCTCAATTTGGCTAAGAAAGTAATGTTTGGTTTAAAAATTTAAAGCTATCATTTACCTTAAACCATATGAACATAATATGGAAATGTTTTCATTTCAAGTTATTAGAAACGAGATGAAGAAATAAGTCCTAGAGTACGATAAATGGTTGAACACCTGATGAAGAAGAGAAGTCAAGACTCTGAAGAAATGAAGCCATAAGTAGGACAGGGGGAGCTGCAGTACGCACCGTTTTACTAAACACAGGAAGAAAGGCAATAGAATAGATGAAGTACACCGTTTTACTATTAAGCCATTCTTTCAAGAATTAGTTAAGATTAGTTAAGTTGCTTAACTTAGGATTAGTTAGAGTTTTTCTCTTTCATCTGAACATAGTACCGTATTTATTCAACTTGTACTGTACCCTATTTTTCTAATGAGAATGTTCTCAATATTCTCTCATCTTGCTACGCAGTCTTTTACTTTCACCATGTTTTTCATGGTATTAGAGCCAGGTTGTTTTTAAGGTTCAGTGGGATATCACCTTCTTTTGAAGGAATCATTCATCATTCATTGAATCAGTAAGTTCATTTGAAGAATAGACTAGTTATTTCCTTTCCTTTTTCAAATCAGTGATTGTTCCTTTCCTTTATTTTCATTATTGAAATTGATTGAAAAACCTATAACAATGGCTGATTCAGCTGAGTCCAGACCAACTAAGACCACAACTTTATTACAGACTAATACACAGATCACTCAAATCCCTCCCATAGCTGATCCTCAATCACCTTATTATCTACATCATATTGACCACTCAGGCTCAGTAACTATTAACCCCAAACTCACTACCAGCAATTACATTGCTTAAAGCAAATCCTTTTTGCTTGCACTTTCCATCAAAAACAAACTTGGGTTCATTAATGGAACCATACCAAAATCTGAAATCACAGATCCTTTTTTCTATCATGGACTCGCTGCAATAACCTTATTGTAGCTTGGTTACTGGATTCAATTTCTCAACCAGTGGTTTCAACCATATTTTATATGGATTCTGCCTTGGATATATGGAACACTCTCAAGCAAAATTTTGCTCAGCCTGATGACACTAGAATATGCAATCTTCAATATACTTTAGGGAATGTAACTCAAGGAACAAGAACTATTGATGCATATTTCATTGAATTGAAGGGACTCTAGGAAGAAATGTGAAGCTACAGACCACTGCCTTATTGTGAGGGATTTGCAACTCCGTTTGTTTTAAAAGGTGCTCAGACCAACACTAAAAGGACATGGTATTCAGGTTCTTGAATGGGTTGAATGAGTCCTTTGCAGCCATTAGGTCCCAGATTATACTCATGGATCCCATTCCTGCATTTGACAAAAATACTGTTTAGTCTTAAGAGAAGAAAGTAAGAGGAATATGATGTTTCAAGCTCAGCCAACAATTGAGTCTTCAGCTATGATGATTAATGCAGAAAACAAAAGAAAATGGAAGAAGGATATTGTTTGCAACCACTGTGGGAAGAAAGGGCATACTAAGGATAAATGTTTCAAAATCATTGGTTTTCCAAAGGACTTCAAGCTTACAAAAGGGAAAGGAAACAACAGGAAGGGAAAATAGTAGTAAACAATGTAGCTGGAAGCTATGAAGCAGTTACTGGGGAAGAAACTGAAACTGAGTAGGAAGAGGATTCGAATGGAACTGGTTCCATGTCTCAATTATCAATCCCTCAGTAGTAGGTAAGCAAGATAATGTAGCTTTTAAATGTGAATGATACAAATGGAAGAGATGGTATGAATATATCAACAACACCACAAATAGCCAAACACTCATTAGTCAATTCAGCATTTGCAGGTATTGTCTCAAATCATTTCTGTTTTAGTACTATGAACAATTTGCCATGTAATATGGAAATGTGGATACCAGCATGATAAAACAAGATCATTGGATAGTGGATTTAGGTGCATTAGATCATATATGTTATACCTTAGATGTTTTTGCTCATGCTAAGTCAGTACACAATTGCTTTGTTCTGATGTCAAACAACAGAAAAATTCCTGTGTCACATATAGGGACTGTTAAATTAACAAATTCATTGATATTACATAGTGTCCTATGTGTCCCCAGTTTCAAATTCAATCTCATATTAGTAGGGCAAATTACATGAGAAGGCATTAGTCTTTTTTTTTTTACTGACATATATTATGTTGTCCAGGACATACCATCATGGATAGTGATTGGGGTTGTTAGAGCCTACTCAGGACTTTACTTGATGCAAGGTGATCAAGATGACCAAGATTTCTTAAAATTCTGTTTTGAAAAGCTTGTAAAGTTTCTCAAAGTTTTCTGTGTTAATATTTCAAAAACAGATCACAAATCCTTTATCTATGGCACTCTAGGTTAGGCCATGCACCTGTTGAAAGGATTAATGTAATTAATCAAAGGTTTTTAGATGTGAAGTGCACAAAAGACATACTTTGTGAAGTTTGCCATTTGGCTAAACAAATAAAACACCCTTTTCCAGTTCATATTCAAAGTTCTCAAAAACCATTTGAGTTAATACATATTGACATTTGGGGTCCATATGAGACACCAACATTATCTGGACATAGATTCTTTCTCACCATTGTGGATGATTACAGTTGTTTTACTTGGATATTTTTAATGAGGAACAAATCAGATGTTTTGACAATTGTTCCTTCATTTGACAAATATGTTCAAAGACGATTTAATTCATCAATTAAAATTTTGAGGTTTGACAATGGTCAAGAATTCAGACTTGGTGATTTTTATTCAAAATTAGGAGTTGCTCATCATTGTCCTGTGTAGAAACACCACAACAAAATGGTGTTGTCAAGAGAAAACATCAACACATTTTGTTTGTGGCAAGAGCTCTTAGACATCAATCAAGTGTTCCAACACATACTTGGGTTGATGCAGTACTTGCTGCAGTGCATATAATCCATAGGGTGCCGACTAGAATACTCAAAAACAGGTCACCTTATGAGTTATTATACAACAAACCACCATCCCATGACCATTTTAGGGTATTCGAATCCTTATGCTTTGTGCCTACATTGTCACATAATAGGAAAAAGAGTAAGTAAATGTGTTTGTCTAGGCTATCCAAACAATGTCAAAGGTTATAGAGTATATGATCTTGATGCAAACACGGTCTTTATATCCAGAAATGTTGTTTTTTATGAAAAAGTATTTCCATTTCAATATTCACAGCAAAGTACACAATCATCTACATTTTCTCAAGCGCATGATGTGCATACTGCTCACCAAAGTGATTTTGATACTTGAAGGGAGAGCATGTTCAAATACTGTAGCTATGGAGAAGGAAGATTAGGACTGGAATGGCCCATGAATTAGTGTGCCCCTTATGCAACAGTGTGAATGGGTGAAAGGGGTTTGGTTTGGGATACAAAATAGATGAAAAGGTTGGACTGGTTGTGAGAGATGATCGAGGAAGAATATCTTATATATTAGGTTAAACTTGTCAAATCCTACAATTTATTCTTGTACACGTGCATAATCTAACGGTGATGATCTCTTCAGGCCTCATCAACGAATTGAGAGAATTACTAAAGAACCCTGAAGAAAAATATCTCCCAAAATCTCCTCCGCTTCTTCCTGCAAACCCGAAGGTCGTAAACAAATCAAGTCTCCCTCTTTCTAAGTTCGCCACTCACAAATTAACCATTTTCTTTTTCTTTTTTTTTTTTTATAAAAAAGATAAGTACCTTGGAATCCATGGCGGGAATCCGATTGGCGCCGGAAGAGTCACCGGACCTGACTCAGCAACATCCGCCGCCGCAGCAGCAACAGCTGCAGACCGGTCGAGAAGTGGCGTCCGACGACGAGCGGTCGGTGGCTGCTGATTCCTGGTCTATAAAGAGCGATTACGGAAGCACGCTTGACGATGAGCAGCGCCACGCTGATGCCGCCGAAGCCCTATCCTCCGCTGCCAACTTCCGTGCTGCCTCCGATTATAGGTCTTCATTTATCTATTCCATTTTTCCTTCATTTTGGCCTTATTTTTTAATTGAATATTTGAGTACGTTTTTGAGATTTTTAATAGAGTTACTATCGAGTTGTGGAAAGTGAAATCGGAGCTTAATTGCTTAACTTTAAGTTTTATTCATTTATTTATGTATTGTTGGTTGTGAATTTTAAGCTTGATATTTGATCTGCTCACAATCGGATGGGATGCTTTGCTTTGGTAGAAGGTGAAATTGACATTTAGCTGTCTTAGGTTGACTTTTTTGATTTGGGGATGAAATGCGAATGCAATGTAAAGAAAATATGTTGAGATGATCAATTGTAGGATTTTTAATTCTTCATAGATACATAATAAGATGTATACATTTTAACATATAACTATTTATTGGTATGACTTAATGCAAATCTTCAAGCAAGTTCTTTGCTTCTATTTTGTTGCTTATAAAGTACTAGCAAATAGTGTAAAACGAAATCATATTGGATAATATGAAATTATGCATTTTGTTGTCTATGTAATTTTTTCTTTTAATTCTTCAATATTATTATTTGCTTTTATTTCCAAAAACACATTATACTTTTCTCTGGCCAAGAAGGAAAAGTAACAATCAAATGGAGGCTTATTAGTTGAATTTTCGGAACTTGGTTTTTAAGGGTTCTTCTCAAGGCTTTCTCTGTGTTTTTGGAATCATAGGACGGTAATATTGTATTATAACCCATTGCTAGATAAAGTTGAATTACGTATATTTATTATTGCTGATATGCTTCAGATGAATTTTTATGGTTTGTGTTGACCTGTAGTTCTGACAAGGATGAACCAGATGCGGATGGAATGACATCAATGCTTGGTCTTCAGAGTTATTGGGATGCTGCATATGCCGGTGAGCTGGCAAATTTTCGTGAACATGGCCACACTGGTGAAATTTGGTTAGAATTACCTTAACTATGTAACTTTGCTATCATATATCTTGAATTGTCTTCATGTTTCACAGTTATTTATTCCACACTCAATGATAAAGTTCAAACTAGATGGGCTGTGGCTTTACTCTATGGTCTTTTTATGTATGTTTTTGTGATATATGCTTCAATTATTTGTAAAAAATCAGGCAGTCAGCATTTGATCAAACACATCCTTCCCAGCATGTAAAAGTACCATTAATAATGCCTCATTGTTATATTTTACTGATTGGCCAATTAACACCCTGGAGGAATGCTTTCAGGAAGAGTGAAGTAATTTGTTTTTAATACTATGGAATTAACAGAATCCATAAAATATGGAGATGTGCTTGTTTAAGGATTTTCTTAGTTATACTTCCTAGTTGGTGTCATCCTTCAATTTGTCATTAGGACCTACCTTGTTTTTGTTTATCACATAAATGCCAATAATAGGATTTGAACATTGGCCTTAAGAAGAAATAAGACTTTATAACCATCAAGTTAAGCATGATCTTTGTACTACAAGCCAAAATTTGTATTACTTAACACACAATTTTGTAATTTATGTTTATAAACATATTAGTGAAGTTTAATTTAATATGCATTTCTAAGGTTACCCCAATGACCTAGTGACTTGATACCTTCGTTGAGTTGCTATTTGGGCCAAGTTTAATAACTCTCTCATGATTAAAGGATTCTAAGAACTTTTGTTTATGCTAATCTCATCCAAGTTCCTTTAAATAGTTTATCTCTTCACCATTTTACCTCTTTCTCTATAGGTTTGGAGCTGACGTCATGGATACTGTTACTTCATGGACCAAAAGCTTGTGTATTGATATTTCTCAAGGTCACATGCCAAATCATGTTGATGAGGTCAAACCTGAGCCTGTTGAACATGGTGATAAATATTTGTCTTGCTGGAGTGTACTTGACGTTGGCACTGGCAATGGTCTGCTCCTTCAGGAACTTGCTAAGCAGGGGTACACTCTGAGATTTTGCCTGTAGTTCTGGTATTATATGCTACTAAAACAAATCAAGATAAAATTAATTCATAGTCTGCAGTGCGAAAATAAGTTGGCTTGGATATTGTTCGTGCTATTGGTTGACTGGAATATTATAATATATAATTTTGCCGTTTCTTTTGGATTCTTTCATGACATCAGTAGATAAGAGGTGCTCTTAGTCAATTATTTGGTTTAAGTTGGTCAACGTATCGAGAGTTTGATAAACATGAACACATTGTTTGAACCAAAGGATGCAACTTTACTTAAAGATGGAAACAGTTTCGTATATATGTATGTATCAATTATGGACAGGGGAGAATACATATTAATGTGGAGTAAAGCAATTGATATATTTACGGAAACTCTGGAAGTATTTGAATCTGGCAATATAACCATGCTTGCAGTATTACTTGAGAAAGGAACAATTTCACTTGAATTCTGCTGAACATTTGTGTCATTTGTATATGCATGTATGTATAATTTTATTTTGGATGTACATCAAATGCTTTGTGAACTGTGCAATTCTTTATATATTTTTTATTTGCTCTGGTATCTTATCTGATTTCGGTAATCAACCTTTTTTCCTTACTTTAATCAGAGTATACTGTAGGAAAAGAGGATTTAACCTCATTTATGGAACCTAGAATTGTGGCTTTCATTTGCTAGCTAGCTAGCTCACTAGGGATTTTTTTTTTTTTTGAACACAAATTTTATAGGATGCCAAAAATGAGTAGTAAGAAATCTAAAACATGAGGAACAGCAAGGAAGAAAGTCCTATAAAAAACCCCAAACCCCTTTAATGAGTATCAAAACTAGTGCCCAGCAAGGAACAGTTTCCAAGTGATTGCATCACTATTGCAGAAACTGCATCTTGTAAAGTTTATCCTTAATAAGCTGCTGGTAAGGCCTTTATTGAAGAACTTATGCTTCAAAAATTTACTGTCCCTCCAACCATGTTCTGCAAGCAATTTTCTGGATGCAGCATAGGTTTATATCTTCAAGACCTGTTTGTTAAGTGAACTGATCCTCGTTAAGATTCCCTGCCTGGACAAGCCAAAGGGTTATTAATCAGCGTTTGGACGAGTACTGTACAATCAAGTTCTTGGTCTATTAGGATTTACTTTATTTCTTGGCAACATAAGTAAATAAATAAAAATAAAAGCAATCTACTATTTCACTTTAAATTTTCTGTTGTGGATAAGTAAAGTGCTAGCGTTTTGGCACAAAATCGTGAAGGTATTTATTCTCAATATTTTATATCTTAGTCTAGTGTGGCTAACATTTCAAATTAGTTAAGTCCTACTTTCTGATGAGTCTATTCTCCAAATCGCATATGATAGTCATTCTTTTGGAGAAATAATATGAGAACAAAGTTGTTCATCAAATGCCGCAGTTTGTCCAATTAGGGGAAGAAAAATGCAAGGAGAAATATCATGTGCAACTTGTTTGAATATGCTATCTACCAGGAATCTTTGGCATGACTTTTCTAAAGCTGATTATCATGTGGTATGGGGACAAGTGATTGGGTTAATAGAGCAAAGAAATTAAAAAGAAAAAAAGCGGAGAATAGGTTGTTTATATTGCTCCATTATGCGTCATGTCAGTATTGATTTATTCTATTTAACTTTTGTTAGATTAATCTTCGTGTAAGATATGTGTAGGCCTTTGGTCAACTTCTGATAAATTTATGGGTCAAGAAACTAAAGTTTTCTCCTATATTATTGCCTTTATGGCTATGGTCAAGTGAATGTTTTGCATTTTTCAATTCAGGTTCACAGATTTAACTGGAACTGATTATAGTGAAGGGGCTATTGACCTTGCTCGAAGCCTTGCCGATCGAGATGGATTTTTAAACATCAAGTTTCTGGTGTGGATTGAATTCTGAGAATTCTTACTGAATCTAATTACAGGCTTTTTTTTTTTATTAATCCATACTATTAGAAGAAATATTTATGTATTCTTTTGTAATCTACCATGTTCTTTAATTTGGAGTGCTTGCCTTCCATGTCTATGGTTCCCTTATGCGTGCATTGGTTTGTTCTCTCTCTATTTATGTATTTATTAATTTTATACATACTGTGATATTGGCATTGATTGGATCTTGCTTTGTGATATTTGTTTAATCTTTACAACTTCCTCATCTCTCTTGTCTTGGTCTACAAAACCTAGTTTGATTTTGTTGTATTTGTTGTTGACAAACCATTGTACCAGTAGACAGTTCCTGGGTCTTATTTTTAGATATTTGTTTAATCTTTGCACTTCTCAACCATTCTTAGGTTTTGGTTATTCCTTCATTCTTTACAACTTCCTCAACAAACGGGGCTCTATAAACCAAAATTTAATGGCTTGGGGAGGTTAGTGCAGTGTGCAGTCCAAACAACAAAATTTGAGATCCATTTGTGAAGAAAATTGGATATTAAGCCTTCAAACACCCACATAAAAGATAAAGGTGGAGCTGTAGTTTTCCTATGCAGAATAATAGTGCAGAAAACTGTTCTTGTTGAAAGTTGAATTCCTGCATAGTTGATTTTTCTCTTGATAGCTTGATCATTCTCAAAGTACCTTGACCATTGACAATTTTATTTGGTCTTTAGGTTGATGATATTCTTGAGACAAAGTTGGAAAGACGGTTTAAACTTGTCATGGATAAGGGGACTCTAGATGCCATTGGTTTGCATCCTGATGGGCCTATCAAAAGGTAATAGTTACACAACCTTTACTGCAATCTACTACATGAATTCTTTCTTTGCCTCCTGTGTCTTCCTTTGTACACCAATTTATATTAACAAATAACTGGTTATCAGGAAGTTCTTGTCTATGCTGACAGTATCTCATAAGTTGAATTGTACAATTTGCACTCATATATAATTAGATGCTGTAGTTTATTATGTTGCTTTTTAATATTTCACTACTTCTTAACTTGTGAAAGTCGAAATGAGTTTCCATTTGATTACCGTGTAACAATTCCTTTTAACTTTTTCCTTTTCAGGATGATGTATTGGGATTCAGTTTCAAAGTTGGTAGCGCCTGGCGGAGTACTAGTAAGTGTCTTACACAGGCTCATTTATGGTTATATTTTTTTTATTTAGTTTGAATAATGTGTGCGTGTGTCTGAAATGAAAGCCCACAACAGAGTCAAGTTTAAATATTCTTCAAGTCAATATTCTTGGTATAGCTTGGGAAAGGCTTGACTCTGTATCCCAGCATGCCTGTAAGCTGTGTGAGAATTTTCTTTAAAAGAAAGATTTAATAACTTCCGCCCTATCTTTTTTTTTTTCGGTTGAAACGCTACTTGTAGGTGATTACATCTTGTAACCATACAAAAGATGAATTGGTGCAAGAGGTGGAAAACTTCAATCAAAGATATATTGAAATGCCGCAAGAGCCAAATACAATCGAGGACCTAGAAACACACAGAGATCTTCCCCCATTCCAATATCTGAACCATGTTCGGACTTATCCAACATTCATGTTTGGTGGGTCTGTGGGATCACGTGTTGCCACTGTTGCATTCCTACGGACTTAAATTGTAGGAATGAAATTTGAATGAGCTTAGCTTGTTGTCATGAATGGGTCACACTTGTGCTTTCTTGTGGTTGAAAGTGTTAACTGCGTGCATGCAGAATTGGTGGAGAGGTATTGACATTTGAAACTCATTTGTCGGATTCTTCCTCTAAGATGGGATGTTCTTTTATGTTTTTTCCATCAAAGATACCGGTGTAGCTGCTGGCGAGATTACCCTTGGCAACTCAGTACAAATACTTTTAAGTTAAATGTTGTCTCAGTTCTTGTAGTGGTTGCTAGTTGGTTCAGTGGATGAGGGTCTGGTTTGGGAACCATGTGCTTTTGTTTGGTTAACATTGAAACAGAAAATTTGACACTGCAATTTTTTGCAAAATTTTAGGTGTTTTCATTTGCTTCCTGTTTACCCTGTCTTGTCAGATTTGAATCCTGAAAATAGTCATTGCTGTTGTTGCAAACTTGAACGCCCACGCTATAGGGAATGGATCCTCCTCCCTGGGAGGGCATGGATTCATTTTGTTTACATAGTGCTCGGCCGGCACAAGTCGTGGACTGAACTTGTAAACATGAACATAGATTTCCAGGTTGACTGACTAATTGTAAACTAGATCCCAATAATCATTGGCCAACCGTTTGATAAAACACATGGCCGGCCGGGTAGCTTATGCCTTTCTGAATTCAATGTTTGATTGTATGGCGGCTCTTAACTTCACTTTGTATTAATTATGTCCAACTGTTTCTCCTTTCTAGCAATGTAACTGTAAATGTAAAATTTCGAGTCAATCTAATTTGTTATGTATGTATCCTTTTTAATGTTTGAATTGAAATAATATTGGTGTCAAAACAATTCTTAGACATTGCTTATTTAACTTATAGTTTTGCATGCGAAATCTAAATCTATAGATAAAGAATTCAGAACAAGTCAAATTTGAACTAGAAACGAAACGATTTGAATTTAATAGTAAAAATGATAAGTTAATTATTAGTTTCATTTTAGTTCGAAACCCTAACTCAAACAAAACTTGAAATTATTTGAATTTGAAATAATTTTGATTCAAATTTATCCATTTACTACCCTTACACAAAAGATGTCATATTTAATTAATAAAATAATAATTATATAAAAAATGTGAAAATATATAAAATTTAAATGCAAGTGGATATGAAAATCCTCAGGCAGGATCTTTCCCATCCTTATCCGGGCACTGTTTTGTTGCTTTTGACAGGTTTCGAATTTTGATTTTTTAAATAAGAAGATTATGCATTAATAAATTAATCAAATATTTGAACGTGATTTTGACGTTTTTATTAGTCTAAAGTCTAAATATCTTCTCATAAAGTGTATCTCTCAATAACACCCGAGCATTTGACTCATTAGTTGATACATTATTCTCTATTTAGAGAGCAAGGTTCAAATTCTCTTTCTTTCAAATATATATATAAAAAATATATCTCTTGATAAAATACAAGGAAAAGAGAAAAAATAATAAAAGGAAGTATACCACTCTTGTTGTGCCTCATAATTTGTTTATTCTCTTTTTATCCTCTTGGCTACAATATTTAACGTGTTATCTCCCCATTTTCCATCACTTTATTATGAGATGATCATTCAGTTTCAAACATTGATAACCCATCCTCTTTTTCCTTCCTAAGCTTCAGATATACAATTGGTAAAATGAAAAAATCCTTCAATTATTCAATAAAATTTAAATAAATTCTTATTTTTTATTTATATTCAATCAATCTATTATAATTTTATTTTAGATCAAATAAACTCTTATTACTAGTAGATGACTAATGATTGATTAACTACTAATAATTTTAATGTCAATTTTTATTTTTTATTCCTACTTGATATTGATATGACAGTACTGACGTAAAGAATAAAAATATTATTTGACTATCATGTAACATAAACATGTAATGTTACTATAAACTATAACATGTTAATATGTCATGTTAGCATCATATGACATAAAATAATAAATTGTGATTTGACCAATGATAATTTGTCAACCGTTAATCCTATTAATCAAATACAAAAATATAAAAACTTAATTGAACGAAATTAAAAATAAAAAATTATTTTAATTTTTATAATTTAGAGATTTTTTAAACAATATGCCTATACAATTCTATCCAAGATAGATTTTTTTTTTTTAATTTTGAGTAATGAATATGCATTTTATGTCTTTAGATGAGAATCATCTAACAAACAAAAGGTTCATGTTGACATCTTCTAGTGATGACAGGTAAGATTTGGTTAAATATTAATGCCATAACAAAAGACAAGAATATATGTCTTATCAAAAGTCATTATACAATAATAAAGATAATTTAGAGATGCAAACAAAAAATAAAGAGGATTAAAGAATGGGTTTGGTATTAAACAACAGATTGCAAAATTAGGAAAGAATAGACATCTTTCTAAACTATAATTAAGAACATAACTACATTTCCTTTCAGGTTATATCATGTCTTCTCAATTTTTGTTATATTATATATGCAAGCAAAACCCCAAAAAAAAAAAAGTCAGTCAAATAATTGGGACTTGAGTGCAATGGGAAGTCACAATGTGTTTAATAAGGCTTTGGATGATAAGGTTAAGTAGTCGCTTTCAATTCATGTGAAGTTTCTTTAGTATGAAATGACTGTATCAAGTTTATGCTTGGTATTCACTATCCCATAATAAAGAATTACACATTTTATTTTCTGACTTCATTTTCCATCACAAACTAACCTAACCTAAGCCACTTCAAATTAATAAAATAGCTACACAAACTTTTCATTGGTTTTTTTTTTTAAATGCACAAACTTTTAATTGCATGATTGACACATGTTTTTTTAAATAATTTTATCAATTTATTAATTATCTTAATTATAATTTAACAGTACATATGATAATCTTAACAATCGATTGTTAGAGTTTGAAAATTTTAACATCGATTCACGAGTGAACATGTAATAATTTTAGTATTTCAAGTAATGATCTCATGAGTTTAATTTGGTGTTTTAAAATTTACCATATAAATGTGGTGCAATTTCATTAGAATAATGAAATGTTGCTATACCCAACGAGTAACATTTTGATCTCATATGTTTTGATAAATACATTATTATTAGAGTTAAAATTTTGATTATGAAGAAATCACATCAAGAATTTGTGGTTAATTATGCCGATGAGGACAAATCAGCTTTGTTATGATCAAATTTGAGGTCGACATGGTTATGACAGTAGCCCCTGCATTTCCATAACCAGAGATTCGCCTGAGCCTGTGTAAGGACTTTGCAATTATCGAACTATTGCTCAAGTGTAAATAAAAAATTGTTAGTTGGATAGAAATATTGTATATATTGCATGATTTCTACGATTGTGATTGTGATTGTGATTGTGTTGCGTTTGAGAATTGAAGCTTTAGCAGAAAGAGCATGTTATCAACTCTAAGGGACAACAATTGTATTTTGAAATTTTAATTTTAATTAAATTGAGATGATAAAATTTATAAGTTAGAGAAAGAATTATTTTACTGTATAACTCAACATCATAAATATCGAAAATAAAAAAAATAATAATTTTTTTTCTTATTTGGATAGAATTTTAGTACGGTAAAATTTGATTAAGAAAATGTATATCCTATGTTCTCTATAAAAATTTTAAATGTCAATTTTTTAGTAATCCTACAAATTAGAATGATTGAACAAGAAAAATGATTTCTTATTATAATTTTCTGACAGCTGTGTAGAAGAAATTTAACATATCTTTTTACCAACTAACATAGAGTATATATGGTTACAAAAGAACATGAGAAGTCATCCTTTCTTGCCTTTTCACTCTTAGTCAAACAAGGTTGAAGATATACCTCTTCCATTCATTTTCTTCTTACGTTTTTAGTAGTAGTGTAAATTTACCTCCATCACTCTCCTTCCCCCCTCTTAATTCTCAAAATAAGGGTTAATTAACTATTTATTACTTCAGCTTAACTTGAGGTATGTTTATTATTTATATATTCTATATAATAGATTTCATATCAATAAGAGATGAAGTGCGTATTTGATTTATAATTAAAGACCTTCACCTATTTATTATTGAAAATGTGAATCCTTGATAAATGATATTAAAATCGACCCAACTTTTCACTAACATGGGACCCTTCATCACAGATATCAAAATTGAGGTAGACTTGGACCAATTTCTCTTTTTTGGTTAAAAAGCTAGTTGTTGCATAATTAAGTGGGGTAGAATGTTAAGCATCCCAAATAAGGGTTTTCCTTTACCTATTAGATATATTTTTTGGATTGAAAATATGAATCCGATAGAGACATATACATATTAATTACCAAGGTTATACATATTCTCATAATTTTATATTTATATAAAGGCATAATACTTTAAAAAACTCTTGAACTATTCAAAAAATTTTAAATAAACAATTATTCTTCTCTTTCATTCAATCAAGTCTTTATACTATTATTTAAAGTCAAATAAACTCATATGATTAATAGTTGATTAATTATCATTAATTAAAATATCATTTATCATTTTATATCTTGTCGATATGTCATAACGAATGGTCATGTCATGTTGCATTTTCACTCTCCACATTAATATCACATAGTATAAAAATGACATGTAATGTTTGATTAAAGATAATTAATCAATTATTAGTCATTAATGAACTATTAGTTATAAGAGTTTCTTTGATTTAAAATAAAAATAAAAATATTTAATTAAATATAATAAAAAAAATTATACTTTTATAGAATATAAGGCATTGATATAGGATTGATGAACCAAAGATATCCTGAATTAACTATTTAAATTATTTGTTTATACCAGAAAACGAAAAGAAATCCTTTAATCAAAGGATGTGGACGGCTGAACACTCCCTCGAGCAAGGGATAAAGGCTAACTAATACTTGTATTTATTTACCTACTCATGATTATAATAAAAGAAATTGCAAGGCCGTACCGATTGTATTAATAGAAACCAAGTCCATCTCTTTTCTTTCCCTTTCTTTTGTTTCCTTTTGATAGTTTTTATATATAAATTAAACTATGACTCGTCCTTTGCATACAGGTCTTTTTTTATCCATCTTTTTCTTTTTCTTTTTCTTTCTATCTCTCTTGTTCCTTGTTCAATATTTATGACCTCCACGTGGTTAGAGGAAAAGCCTCAAAAGACCTCCTTTTACTTACGTAACAGATAAATAAATTTTGTTAACAATTAATTTAACGATTTTGGTATGAGAATCCGTGGACATATGCACCAACTATTTCGTTAAATATATACTCTGTGTTAATTTAATATTTTTTTTAAAAAAATTATTATTGCGTGTATGATACCAGAACCCTATAACCCAAAAGAACCATAAACGTTGTCAGCTACCTACCAATTTCAGAAACCCTTGCGAGAACCTAAGAAAGCCAGAAAGGTTTGTTTAATATGTTCTAAAACGTTGCGAAAAGCTTGCACGTGTTGACTGGTCTTTCTTTGTGTTTTGGTTTTTGAAAGGTGGGTTTTATTAGAATAATAACAGCCGAAATGCCATTGATAGTCTCTAGTTTGAATAATGACTTTTTCTTAAGGCATGGTCTTGAACGTGCAAAGTTTTTTGTACTTATGTGTCGCGGAAAGCAAGGTACGACTTACCCTTGGAGACAGAGAGGTTAATTCCAACATATTTAATCATTATTCCTTCGTACTTGTAAGCTTTATAATTTGTGAACGAAGATATATGGTATTCATTCATACTATTATCAGTTGATTCGAAATTGAATTTCCTTTATTAAAAATAAATAAATTTAAACTAATAACAGAATATAGATGACCAAACAAAAAGATAAACTTTCATAAGGATCAATGAAATGATTATTATTAAACGCGAAATATAATCAAACGGAGATTCGCTTGAACATATCAACAAAGGAATTTGAATCCTAGTTTCTGGGAGTAAAAATGTCCCAGTGAAATAGATTGTGTTCTTATCATTTACAGAATAATATATATATGTTGCGAGAATTGATGAAATCATTGATTCAAATGAACAAATAAAGAAACAAGGCAAAGGAAAACGGTGCCTGTAAGGCAGGTGAAGCCAAGAGTTATTCCAACCAAACGCACAAGCTCAAAGAATTCTGATATCCCCCCATCTCTTTTCGCCTTGTAATTATAGCCAGCTGCATAGTTCCAACCATACTCGCATCTGCAACATCTCTCCAGCTTCTCCTTGATCTTCACCTGCTCTATCCTCTCCCTTAGAACACTCAAATTCTCGTCAACGCGGTCACTTGATCTACCTGCCCGCAGAAAAAAACAAACAAACATAGAAATGGTGTTATAAATGGCATAAATTTAAGATGAAAATTAAGAAAGAAAAGAAAGAGGAACAATGACTACGGGACAGCTGAGTTCCAAGTAGTAACTTTACCTCCATCTCTACAGCTTTGGGCTCTGACTTGCAAGGGTTGACGAATGCAATGCTTGAAAGATGGTGTAACTATGGCATAAAAAGAAGGTAAAGAAGAAGCCATGTTGCAATATTTGGAGAAGGTTATCGCTTAAAAAGTCAGCTGCAGTGATATCTGGAGGTGGGTTCCTTTAATTCTTTGGCTTTGAAGTTAACTTTGGAAAGAAAATATTTCTGCTTGCTTGCTCTGATGGCAGGTGCTGCAACAAATATTATTAGTTCTGACAAAGTTGAGCTCCTTTATATATTGGAAAATACAAGGAATGAATGTGATTGGAATGGAAAATATCTGAATAATTACAAGCTTAAAATATCAGACGGTCAGGTGCAGCTTCGATGAAAATTGACCGCTATTTTAATTCAATTGATTAAGGGTCCAATCTTAGATTAAAAATATTAACGGGAATTTTGGAATTACTCATTCGGATCAATTGAAGTCAAGCTGTCAGCTATAAGGCTTCGGGTTCCTCTATGAAGATTGGAAACATATTTCCTCAAATGATTTTAATTACCCTCTAACCAAGAATTGGTCAGAGCCCTCAACCGCACACACCTGCGGTTTAAGCCAATTATTCTTTCCAAAAGGTCAGGCATGTACGCGGAATTTGCCTACCAAAACTCTCACGTACAGCTATTATAAGCTTATTATGTCTATAGTATGTAGATTATTATTATTTTTATTTTTGAAAAGCGATATTTTATATTGCATTTCTGGAAAATGACAAAAGCTACTCCTATTTGAAAAGTACGCAGAATCTGCACTTGGGTACACAGCCGCCCCTACCTTGCCTAGAGAGTGTTTTAGTACAAGAATGCCCAAACGTGGGTTGCATCTAAGATCAAAAAAGGTGGATAGGCACCCAAAAATCATCCCGCTGCAGCCAATATTGCCTAAAGACTCTACAAAATCCACCCCTGTAACAATCAAAAACAATGCAGCAGAGTGTAAGTTTCCACCGTCCCAGCTGCTCTTGAGAATCAGCTCTTGCAAGCCATACTTCACTTCTTCGCAGCGGCCATAAATCAAACTCAAGTGCTGGTGACATATGCATTACCGCTCCAAAAATTGGGAGCCATTGCTTCAGAAATCGGTTAAAGAAGCCCAGCGTTACTCAGCAACACACTTCCCTAAAGTGTAGTTATTTACAGCCATTAACTACTCACAACACATCCTAACAATCGGCAGTCCATCGGCAGCAGAACTCGGTAATTATCAGAGCATATCAGCAGGCTCATACCAATAATACTCTACCTTGTCTATCCCGTTGGACATAAACAGCATGTGGACATTTGTTGTAGCCTCTGCACCTGCCTGCTTCATCATCTCAACTCATCCAGCCATAACTTCCAGAAGTCAGTCATGCCCCTGCACTCACATGAAAAAGGAACCAACGCAGAATAATCCAAAGGTACAGTTCAAAAAATACCAAAAAATATTATTATTATATATAACTGACGCATGTGCATTTGATAATTATTTTAATTTTAATTAAATTCTAATTAATTAGCTAGTGTCTATAATTTGTGTCAGGCCGGGTTCCCACTGGGCCTAATCGAACCATAGTTTCGAAACTCTTGTTTCAGAAGAAGACAG